GGAAGTGAGAAACATCCGGACGGCCCTGGTAGGAAAGAGGTTCCGCACCCGGCTTTAAAAGCGAAAGGAGTACCCGTGCTGGCATGACGGCCGGCCTTCCGCCCTGCGGGCTCTGTCGCGGCGTGTTCTCACCGAGCCCTCGCAGGGCGGGGGCGCTGCTGACACAAACACGCGAGAATGTTCTGCCGGGTCACCTGACGCCCGGCAGCCGGTGGCCTCCACGCCCTCGGATGCCAGGCGGGCCGGTGGCACGTGACTCAGCCGGCGGCGGAGCAAGGCAAACAATGGGCACGGGGTGGGGTGCCGGGTGCCTGCAGGGCTTTGCTCATCGGCGTTCAGTTCTGAGGAGAGAGTGGGCGAGTGAGTGCAGATGGCCTGGTCCTGGCCACACACCTCCCTGTGTGCCTAGTTCCCGGGGGTCAGCACGTGCTGGGGTGCAGCGCCATGAGGGTGCCAGCGGGATCTGCATTCGGGTCCGTGGCACCCGAACCCTCTCCGACCCGGCCCGGTGCGGGGAGCCCCATGGACAGCCTCCTGCTGGTGATGGACGGCTGTGGTGGCCATAGTCTCGGGTGGTGACCAGGCCCCAGGATGGTGGATGGAACAGGAGCCAGGAGGGCACAGCCTCTCGGAGCCCTCAAGAAGCTGTCTGCTTTGTTTTTCTTTTTCTTTTTCTTAAATATATATATTTTATTGATTTTTCACAGAGAGGAAGAGAGAGGGATTAGAGAGTTAGAAACATCGATGAGAATCATCGATCAGCTGCCTTTTGCACTCCCCCTACTGGGAATGTGCCCGCAACCAAGGTACGTGCCCTTGACCGGAATCGAACCCGGGACCCTTCAGTCCGCAGGCCGACGCTCTATCCACTGAGCCAAACCGGTTTCAGCTGCTTTGTTTTTCTTAAAATACCTTTTTATTGATGTCAGGGAGGAAGGGAGGGAGAGGGAGAGAAACATCCACGAGGAGAGAGAGTCGTCAATCAGCTGCCTCCTGCACGCTCCACACAGGAGATTGAGCCCGCCACCGGCCTGTGCCCTGGCCGGGGTCGCACTGTGGCCTCCTGGTTCCTGGGTCGACGTTGCACCCCTGAGCCGCACCGTCTGGGCTGCTTTGTTGTGCTTAATGGTCCCTTACAAAGAGCCAGCCTTACAGGACAGGCGCACCGTGAGCTCACCGGGCAGGCAGGATGCTGGGGAGGCTGCCGCCCTGGAAAAGCCGGGGGCAGGGGGGCTGGGCGTGGACCCAGGACACCGAGGCCCTGGGCTCGAGTCCTGCCACTTGACTGCATCCGACTTTGGACCAGGCTCCTGGCTTCCCTGCGGACCGGGGCTAAGAGGGAGCAGGGAACAGGGTCTTGTAGGTCAGAGAGCCCCGCACGCGCCCGGTGTCCCGCAGCCCCTCTGAAAGCCCGCTCTGTCTGTGTGGCCCCGGCGAGGCTGCGCGGGTTTGGGGGCCACGCTTCGGGAACCACTGCTCCGGGGAGAGGGCCGGTGCTGAGGCAGGTGCCACGGGAGGGGGCGGGCGCCCTGTGCAGCCCCAGCCAGCACCGGGGTGCCTGCCCTGCTGGGAGCCCACCCCCCCGTGGAGGGCACACACTCTGGGACTGGGTGCCCAAAGGTCTTTATTCCCGTTTCCGTGGCTGAGTGCGTGGTCCCTCCCAGATTGGCAGGCTGAGGCCTTCTGCCCACGGCCGTGGTGTGAGGCGGGCTTTGGAAGGTCACCAGGTCATGAGGGTGGAGCCCCACCAGTGGGGTTGGTGCCCTTATAGAAGGGACCCGGGGAGAGCCCTCAGCCTTCTCCCATTGAGGACACAGGAGGGGTGACCGTCAGCAAGGAGAGGTCTCACCTCGACCTCGGACCCCGGCTCCAGGACCGAGAGGGCCGCCCGTTTATGGTGTTCCGTTCCGGCGGCCGCAACAGACCCCGGCACTGGCCTGACTGAGGTCCGTGTCCCCTTGGAGGGTGAGCAAGGCACCCCGTGACCCCCAGTGGCTCTGCCCGTGCTTTCTCCCGCCTGGTGGCAGGTGGGGCAGCCTGGGCTTCTGCAGCCACAAGGAAGGAGCCTATGTCACAGCGGGGGAAACCGAGGCACAGCCTGCCAGGAGGGGATGGGCTGAGCCACACAGAGCCAGCGGGTGGAGGGGCTGAGCCCGGGAGGATGGGGCCACGTCGCTTCTCTCCGCCGTCCCGAGTGAACCCCACTCCTGCCTGTCTCGTGTCCTTGGCTTCCGATGGGCCAGCTGGGGCCTGGCCGTACCCCGCCCGCCACCCCGCGGGCTTTGCAGCTTTGTAGCTTTGTGTGCAGAGCGCCCCTCCCTCCAGCCCCCTCTCCCTCCCCCGCGTGGGCGCGGGGCGGACACTGCGGCCGAGGCCTGAGCTGTGGCCTCCTTGCCCGGGCCGGCCGGCGCCTTTGTGTTCCCGTGACGTGGGAGCGTGTGCTGGGCACATGCCGGGTCACATGCCGGTAACTCGGAGTCCGGGACAGTCGTGGGGGCCGTGTACACCCCACCCCGCCCGAGAGGGCACACAGTCCTCGTATTGTCCGCTGGCGCCCCGTGGCCGGCGGCGGCAGGGCTGTGGGCGTCCCGGGAGACAGAGAGGACCGTTGTGGGGTTTCTGAGCTTCCCGCTGCCATTGCGGGGCGCGGAGCTCCGGGTCGCCCCGCCGGGCCCGTCACCAGCCTGAGCCCCGTGCGCGGCTCCTGGGCGCGGAGGGAGGGAGGGCAGCAGGAGCCCGCCTCCCAG